TTCTGAAGTTTATCGCTCATTCTCTTTCTCTCGCTGTTCGCAGTGTTCATCCAACTTGACGTTTCTCTTTGTGGAACATTCTACGTCATTCCTCGAACATTCTGCCTATTTCTCCTGTTCGCTTTGTGTTGCCGCAGAATTCGCCACAATATCAATTAATATCAGTTTAGCTGCGAGGAGCACGGTGGCTCTAAGCCGGCTGATGCCGCAGGAAGCTTCTTATGACAGCAGCCCAGTCGGTGCTCCTGTACGGGGAAAAATATGGGCCGACGCATTGAAAGTCAAAAAATACCGGATTCAAATGTCTTCGGTCCAGCGCAGAGGGGCACTACGCATTTCTTCTGCATACCGTGCAGTGTCCGCGGACGCGGTTCTAGTTATTTCTGGCGTCATGCCAATTGCGCTACTTGCTTACGAGCGAAAAGAGATTTACAATCTCAGTGCCGAGATAGGTCGAGCAGCTGCCGCGGCAAGGGCGCACGGGCAACTGATCCAGCAGTGGCAACAAAACTAGAACGCGAGCACAAAAGGTCGATGGAGGCACTCCCTGATAGCCGACCTGCAAACATGGTTGAACAGACCGCATGGGAAAGTCGATTTCTACCTGACGCAATTTCTCACCGGTCATGGTTACTTCCGATAATATCTTCATAGAATGGGAAGGGTGGACTCACCGTTCTGTCACTACAGTGCATACAGCATTCCCTCTCCTACGAACAATTCGAAAATCATATTGTAGATGGTATTTTGGCACCAAATGTTTCTACTAATAAAGTAGCAATTTATTATTGCAATAACATTTTGGATAACATTAATAGAATGTATATTCTAATAGTGCATAAATAGTGAAAAATCCACATTTAGAATAGTTACTGGAGCGAAGAGTTTGAAAACATACAAAATAATTTTAGTATGTACAGTGCAAGGCGAATCTATAGAAGGTGCTTTATCGGATCCGATGATTTCATGACGGCTTTGTACTGATTGCCAATGTGCGTATAATTTGTTGTTGTAATTTTGTGATTGTTCTGTGAACACACGTTGTATAAATTCGTCTTGGTACAGTGTAGTCTAGCGAATACTGCGGCAACACAAAGCGAACAACGAGAAATAGGCAGAATGTTCGAGAAATGACGTAGAATGTTCCACAAAGAGAAACGTCAAGTTGGATGAACACTGCGAACAGCGAGAGAAAGAGAATGAGCGATAAACTTCAGAACGTTCTAGAGTTGCCATAAGTGCCAGCGCAGGTATATAAGGGCGCCACAGCGAGTTGAGTTAAATACGAGTTACAAGACAGCAAGCTACAAGTAAAGTGAGCAGAGAAGTGAGTTGCGAATAAGCAAGACATAAGTTTAATTGTGTTACCAAGTTTAGTTAAGCGCTGTTATTGCTTTAACAAGTATTGTAACGTGTTTTTACTGTATTAGCGAGTATTGTAAATTGTTTGTTGTACAATAAAGTTAATTGTAGTACAATTTGGTCATCGGTTGCATTTATTTAACAATCGAGCGATACGAACCGAGGAAAGGAAGGAAAAGGAGGAGAAAAGCAAAAACTCCATATAAAATGACGTACAAGAAATGGCTAAGAAATTTTCTTGAGTCAAATTTCCTTAAGGCAGTACGCAGTTCTTCAGCAATTTAGTACGCCTTCTACTACGGTTTTCTAAAGTTTTTGTGAAAAAAGAGCACAAGGCAACCCAGGTGTGCAACAGAAATATATGCCCGTTCCATTATTTCTTGAGGAAAGAGTGAGGCAATAGGCTGTGAGGTATAAAAAATGTCAAAATTCCTTGGACACACACGCGAAATAATGGTAATCTTTTCTTGACCGTTTTCTTAAGAGCTGGATACTAAGCTATAATCGTAACAGTACATTGCACACAAAAGTCGATGCATCGAAAAAAATACATCGATATATCGATGCATACATCGATGTTTCCGATGCATCGATGTTTTTTTGCTTCCTATTCGAAATACCATCGATAGTTTGCCACTACTACTACTGCGAACATGCGTATTTAAAGAGGAAGCACAAACAGCTGTTGGACATTTCACATTTTTGGATAATTCGTTTGTCGGTGCGTGTTTTATTTTGAAATAAATTTTCGCGTTAAAACAACCAAAATGATTATTCCGATTCGTTGTTTCACGTGCGGTAAAGTCATTGGCAACAAATGGGAGTCCTACTTAGGGCTTTTGCAAGCTGAATACACTGAAGGGTAAGGTGTACGCATTAAAACTTCGATAGAAAATCGTTGAAATCTAGAAATTTATTATTTGTAGTGATGCTCTGGACGCCCTTGGGCTGAAGCGTTATTGTTGCCGACGCATGTTGTTGGGACATGTGGATCTGATTGAAAAATTGCTCAATTATGCGCCTTTGGAGAAATAGATGCGCTAAGAAGGGAACGAGAGTAACTTAAACCCCACCAAAAAAGTGTGTGGCTTTTCCTTGTGCGGTTTAAGTTTAGTGTAAATAAATGTGAAGTTTTTGTAGCAAATAGCAACGGTTTATTAATGTTAAAATATTGGTTTTTGTAAAGAAACTGCACACAGGCAAAATAATATACTCAAGCATATTAAGTTAAAAATTTAACGGTCCAAGAAGGCGTAAGTGTCTTTGCCACTCGGTAGCAAAATATCGCACGTATAATAATATGGAGGTGTAATTCAAAATTTACATTTTGGGAGCTTTCATCATACAATTAATAAGCTTGATAAGGAAAATATGTTCAGCTTAGCAGATGATAAAACTTCGCAAAAATGATGAAGATATGTGTCTTCACATCTGTCTTTTGGTATAATAATCAAACTTTGATTGCGTTTTCACACAAAATTGAAATAATTCTGTATATTATTAAACGTGCGATATATGTAGGCGGTAGTAAATATAGCTCATTTACTAAGGTACTGTCACATCTTAGATAACTAAAATTTTTGGGTTTATTGTTACATCAAATTTCATATTGTGTAAACAAATTTTCGTAAAATCTTGTGTATTTTCCGCGTGAGAACATAAAATACACCTTCAGTAAACGCGTCTCATGATCAATAGTGTTTTCTTAATTGTGACAGTCTTTTAGTAAATTGTATCAACTCGCGCACCAGACATCGACCATTTGTAGTGTATTTTGATTATGTCCTACATTTTATCCATAAACCAAGGCTGACCATTATTTTCACGACGGCGCGTAAGAATTTCACAGCCATTATCAGTCACTAACAGCGTCTGCTCAAATTGCGCTGAGTAGAGGCCGTCCCCGGTCACCGCAGTCCAATCATCAGGCCATTGTGCATTTTTGGATACTCCTTCGGATATCATGGGCTCAATGGTAAAGCAATGGCCAGCTTTCATAACTCCAACAGCTGAGTTTTCTAAAATGTGATAAATGTTAATGAAATATTCAACCGGATACAGATTATTGATGTTTATTTACTGGCATAGTGAGGCACATTCGGTGCGGTGTGGAAAAGTCTATGTATACCATGCCCACAATAGCTTTTTACAACGCTGAAACCATGCGGCGCCACATGCTTTTGTATGACGTTACCTATTTCACGATACTTCACGCCAGGTCTGCAAAATTACTTTCTTAAATTTATTCACTAATTAATTTAGAGTAGTTTCATTACATACCTCACCAACTCTATAGCTTTGCATAGCGATTCATATGTAACACGAACCAATTTTTTGTGTTTCTCTGCCACATTACCAACGAAGAAGGTTTCGTTGAGGTCCCCATGAAAACCATGATGATAGACAGTGACGTCAACATTACAGATATCACCATCTTGCAATGGCCGCAAATCTGGAATGCCGTGACATATCACCTCATTAACGGAAGTGCAGCATGACTTGGGAAAATTGTAGTAGTTCAGCGGTGATGGATAGCAATCTCGCTCAATGGCAGCTTCATGTACAAGTCGATCCAGCTCATCTGTGGTAACGCCAACTTCCACAGCTTTGGCGGCTTCATCCAAACACTCACGTCCAAGTCGACCAGCTACGTGCATAGCCTCGATTTCATCATCGTCCAGAACTTTGATAGAGGTGTTGCCCCGCATGGCCTCCTCGGATGCGGCGCGCCCTGAAGGGTGGTCTGCATAATCAGGACGCTCGATGTTCTCAGGGACACTGCGCTTAGGGGTATGTGGATATGGACGCAATTTGCCGGTGTAACGATAATGTGGCCACGGATTGTAACCGGCTTCGGAGTTGTCTACCTCCTGTTTTGTTATGCCTTCTGTAAATTAGATATAAAGCATTCAATAATGGCGTTCATATTGTATAACCTTAGTTATTGCTGCCTAACCCACCAGCTAGTGCATGAATCACTTTATGCTCCTTCCAAAAGCCTTTAAAGCACGGTTGTGAACAAAAATATGAACCGGGTATACGCAACTTCAGGCATGTTGGACACTGTAGGGTGGCTTCCTTGCCGCAACCCGGTGTTTCACATTTGTGAGACATTTTATTGCGCTATGCCCAGTAGACAATAAAAAAATTGGTTTTCCAAAATGGCTAAAAATAGTAGTATATATATCTCTTTGCGAACCAGACCGACCTTTACTTCATAGCGGTGATACCCAAATATCCAACAGTGACATTTATTTTCGACATTGAGGTTAGAATTTGACAGTTCCAATCGGTAAAATTGTTAGCGGTTAATGGTTGTTGCCTCGAATAATTGAGTGTCATCCTTAAAAGGAAGTCTTTCTAATAGGTGCAACCGTGTTTCCGTCCAAAAGTCAAGTATTGAATTTGATTTAAATCATTTTATTTTCGATTTATAGATAAATTAAATAAGTGGCATAATACTTTTTAGAATAGTTAAAGAAGGTTTACAATATTGTACCCTTAAATAAAAAAAAATAGTCAAAAATGAGAAAGGTAAAGACGATTATAGTTTACACTTTTTTAATTTTTAGATATTTTAATTGGTAGGCTTAAGAAAAGGTTAGGGTACTGTTCGCATATTTGTACAACGATTTTGGGGTGGTGTCCTAATGCGAAATTCGCATCAAAAAACTTTTACACACACTGTAGACAACAGTTCACACAGTTTATTTACTATATCGTGTGTGTTATTAATCATGTCGGTTGAAAATATGGTATTTTTTTTTCGGCAAATTTCCGAGCTGAGCTGCCAACGCTATAATAATCCCTAAGCACGGCCGAAGGCCGCCTACGCAGAAGGTGTTCAGCCTCTCCTCTTCGGCAACAGAGAAAGGAGAACTCTATTTAGTGAGGGTTATAATCCTTTTGGAAAAAATCGAATTTCCCCTATTTTCATACAGCTCCTAAGGGGTTGTTGTTGTTGTAGCGGCTACAACAACCCCGCCCAGATCGGCTGATATCTCAGTCGTTGCCGTCGAGTTCCACCAACGGCAGCTCCAAGAAGCGTGCAGCCTCTATGGGGTCGGTCCATAGGAACGACGCCGTTAGGGTGGTGGGGTTTTCCGGGCATGCGAAGAGATGTTTCGAGTCGTGAGGGGTCTCTCCGCATGCCGGACATTCGTTCGGCCCATCCGCATTTAAACTACTCAGGTAGGAATTTAGCCTGCTGCAGTAGCCAGAGCGAAGTTGGGCTATTGTTGTCCTGGTCTCCCGAGGAGATGGAGCTCCGTCGCGTCAATGTCCGGTGTTTGTGTGCCTAGAACGGCATTCACAGGTCTTGAGTCTACATAACTCGAGACTGCGTCCCTGTGAATGCCGTTCAGTGCGTGTCTGTGAGCTGTTGCTTAATGAACCTCTGAACTTCGTCCAACAGTTCATATAGATGCCTCCTGACGTGCCTCGGCGAGGGCTCCTCTGCATGCAGCTGTCTATTTGGGTGGCCACATCTGTGGCTCCCAGCAAGAAAGTGCTTGCAGAGCATCGTGTTGTGCTCCCTAATCGGGAGCATTTTCGCCTCATCGTGGAGGTGGTGTTCTGATGACATCAGGAGGCATCCGCTCGCTGTCCTAAGTACTGTAGTTTGTACCGTCTGTAGCTTCGTCCACTGCGTCCTACTAGTCCCCGGCGACCACACTGGTGCTGCGTAGTTTAAAACCGGCCAGCCTATTGCCTTGTATGTTGCCAGCAATGTTTTTTTGTCTTTGCCCCAAGTACTGCCGGCTAGCGACTTGAGGACCATGTTGCGGCTCTGTACTTTATTGACAATAGCGGTTGCGTGCGCAGAGAAGGAGAGCAGCTCCAAAGGGGTCTGTAGGGGTGGTGAGGGGGGAAGGGGTGACTTTTCATAAAGCGTCGTCCATCCTCTTTCGTTTAAGTTGCGTTTGGGGGGCCACGTCCCCTCCCTCTATGCCACCCTAAGTATTAGGTTGAGCTCCCTAATTGAGTAAGCTATAAAAGGTAACCCCTAGAATTTTCAGGTTATTTACTGTCGGGATTGATGTGCTATCGACATGGATCATTAATTGCAGCTAGACCTCCTTCGTCCACTTGGTGCAGAGGGTCGCCGTTGATTTCGGCGGACAGAGGGATCGGCTCCGTGGAATGAATGTTTGGAGAGGTATCTGTTTCCTTTCGAACAATTCCATTTCCCGACGAAAATATAGCGATATAGGAAACTCCTTCCAGTGCATGAGAAAGTTTTGGTGATGGTGCTCCCGACATCTTCCGCGAAGCCATCCCAGTTAGTTTTATTGAATTTGATATAGATACAGTGGTTCGTGGGAGCAAAATCGGTGGTTTTATTGAGCGAGTTGACTATCCGGTGCGTTAAGCTAGTTATCAGACACGCGCTAGATATTGTTAGGTTTGGCGAGCTGCTAAAGCCAGTTAAATGTGCAGAATTTCAAATCGTCTATCTTCTCCGCCAATAGCATTCCCCTGCTAGTGCAAAAAATCGTGGTGCGCGTAAAAGCCTCTTTCCATCTTATGGTTTCCCCCCTAATGAGCGCACACTCACACGATAAATATTTAAAGCTCGACATCGCCTAACCGGACAGCTATGGCTTACATTCCAGGGTGGTATCTTTGTCTTCTTCGATAAGACGATACCGCACACTGTGGTGTAGGATTAATACTAATCCACCACCATTATATCGCCCGCGATCTTTACGGAGCACGTTATTCACGTCGCAACAATTCCAGACGGAGAAGGATGCGGAACAATCGTGATGGAAGCCGTTGCTCCATGGATAAAAAACAATTGATGGAGTTTTTCGGTCTTAACGAGGCTAGGTCACCGAAGCAACAGCCCTGCCTATGGGCTATCGTGGAGTGCCTTCCTCATATTCTGTTAGCACCTTTGCGATCAGCAATGTATCCATTAAAATCTGGGGCATTTCTGTCCTCTCGTACGACATGTCCGAACCAGGAGAGCCACTATATTTAATCCGCTATAACCACGTACACCTTATTATTCCATCGTTTTCCAACGCGCAAGGACCTGTAAATAATTCGCAGAATCTTTCCCTCGAACACTCCAAGGGCCACCCACAAGATGTTTTCATTGTCAATGCTTCTGCGCAATACACCAGTACAGGCATTACGGCTGACTTATAGAGTGTGATTTTTGTCCGACTTTTAAGCTGATGTCACATAAAACTTTTGCTTCGCTTTACGTGACAGATTCGCTTTGACAGATAAGATGAATTGTATGAAAATGCACAAAGCATGCCACATAAATCGTTGAAGCGGCAGCGCGAAGCGAAAAGATGGTCAACTCCCATCTTTTTGCGCGCTTTGACAATCAGCCGGTTTAATATTTATTTTGTTTCGTCCAAATTCGGGTTTTCATGCAGAAACATAAAACTTAATTACATTGCTGATAATTTTAAATCAAAATAATTAAAATCCACAGCAACTTTGATGAGTAAAAAAGCGGTACAACATTGTTTTCTTGGCGTTCATTGTGGCATACCTTTTGCGTATGGCGCTTTGCTGGCAAAGTTATAAATGTCACGCAAAGCTACAAAGTTTTATCTGGCATCAGCTTAACTCAATCAAGGTCTACTTGTTTACTCAGTCCAAAGTAGCACTTGTTGGCAAGAATTCTCCGCTGGATCTCAAGGATACTTATTATCGCTGAATTTTCAAACTTGTAGCTGTTAACATTGACGTGAGTCCCGTAACGCGTATGTGCTGACTCTTTATCTGCTGACCAGATATATGTACTTCGTTTAGTCCTCTTTCAACACTTGACCAACGCATTTTAGTCCTCTATCTAATTTCGAGAAGTCAGAACATATATAGGCGATTATTTTTTTTATCGATGATGTCGATGTAGTAAGCATACGCCAGTAATTGTAAGCTGCATTTTTCCGACAGCGGGGCCAAATTTCCCTTCCTTGCCCACCTGACAATGAAATCACCAAGCCCGATAATAAATATCGACAGGGTCAGCGTCGTAAGTGCACTTCAAGCGCTGATAGAATAGGTCTTTAATCGCCTCGTCCTTCTTTTACCATGTTCGAGTACTCTACCATGAACACATCCAAAGATATGCAGTATGAAAAATTCGGTTTGTATGCAGTGATCGGACTGAAAAAAATTCTGTGTGGTAGAATCTGGAAAAAAATGTGGTAGATTTCAAGAATATGTGGTAGATCTGAGATTTGGTTTGTTTATTATGTGTTTATCTTTTTTCTTGTACTATGAAACAGAAAATATAATAAGTATTAATAGTGTCGCGACAGTTTTACAAGTTTTGACTATTTTTCTTTTTTTTTGTTTGTTTAAGGCTTATTCATTTTTTACAAAAGTATAGCTCATTGTCTAAATGACCACATAAATCCGAGTTTCAAACTTTGTGCAAAAAAAAAAATTGTGCAACGTTTCACATAAACTGCAAAATTTTCAATTTGAATCTCCAGAAAAAAACTTTTAAATTTTTAGTACGTGTAATGAAGAGCAAATTTTAAGTTGCTAAAAACTGCGTTGAGTTTTGGATTTTTTTTTCTTGACAGTGTAAAGCAGTTCCTTCCTTATAAAGATATTTTTCGAACATACTTTGAGAGATTTCTCCAACCTTGCGGAGTGCTGCCAGCTTTTCTTTTTATCACATCACGATTTAGCGAAAAACGGTGCTGCGTTCCACAAACTGCTATTTGGGTTTTGCCTTTTCTTAACTAAATGTAAACAACGCTTCAGAAACTTTAAATGCACTGAAATTCACTAATACTTTGACAAATCTCCGATTTTTAAATATAAATCATGATAAAAACATTACAAGGTAAATTCATTCTCTCAATTCGTCGGCCATGATTTTGTTCTGACGTTTGCCAACATTTTAAAATCATATAAAATTGAAAATAAAAAAATTAAATTGTTCACAATTGTTGTTGTTTGAGATTGAAAATGAGAATGTGTGTGTGAGTTTGAGTTTTGATTTTAAAATTATATTGTTGGCAAACGTCAGACTGCCTCTCAATGGTTTTACCTTGTTATGTTTTTATCATGATATATGTAAATCATATATTTTTCACTCTAAGGCAATTGGAATACATTTCCTGTCTGTTATGCACGCCACAAAGCTCCTGCTGGCACTTACAAAAGAAATGAACACCACCAATTTATATTTAATGAACGTTGACGTTGTCACCGTTGAAATGTTGTTCGTTTATTTCACTGAAATAATATATAATATAAATCTTACAAGTTTAGTTTAGCAGAAATAATTTCTTACACTTTGTATTCTTGTGCCGGTAAGACTGGCGTACAAACAGTAAATGACAAATTCAAATTTGGAAATACATATGTAAGTGAAATGAAAGAACATGAAAGAAGACAAATAACTGCAGGGTTGCATTTGAAGTCTGGCGGGTGTGTTCGCAACATCCCACCCCCCGGTGAAGGGCTCTATGCTTCACCCTAAAACATCCAACACCGCCAGCTTCGATACTGGTCGTTGTAGCACGCCGTTCTCCGTCTTAACATCGGCCAGGCGAACATGTCCGTCTCTAGCTTTTACCGTTGAAATCACGATACCTTTTCTCCACTCGCTGCGTGGAAGATTACCATCACAGATGATGACTACATCACCGGTCTTTACTTCAGGCTGAGGTGCAAACCATTTCGTCCGTTTCGTAAGCGTAGGCAAATATTCCTTATCCAGCGATGCCAAAACTGATTTTTCAGTTGCTGGCTTATTCGATACTGCTTCCTAGTGGCGACCGCTCCTTCGTCCCCTGGCGTTTGTGTAGAGTTAGTGGCCCCCAACAGAAAGTGGTTGGGAGTTAGTGGATCAGGCTCCTCTGGTGTGACTGGCAAGTGAGTCAACGGGCGGCTGTTGACTATATTTTCCGCCTCAATTAGGAGGTTGTTCAAGGTATCTACTTGCGGCGCCTTCTCCTTCAATGTCATTGCCAGTACTTTTTTCACTGACTGTATGAGACGTTCCCAACATCCGCCACTGCTTGGGTTCGCTGGACAGTTGAATTCCCAGATGATGCCTCGCGTTGACAACTCGGTTCGAATGTACTTGTCGTCGAAGATATCCGCCACCTTGGATAGCTCACCACTCGCACCCACAAAGTTGGTACCCATATCCGAACGAATTTTGGCTGGAACACCACGGCGGTGATGCAAGCATCAGAAGAAAGATCACGCGCAAGTTCAATGTGGATAGCGCGTATGGTTAGACAGGTGAATAATGCTGCCCACCGTTTCTCCGTTCTTCTTCCAATTGTTACCATAATGGGACCAAAGTAGTCAAGTCCTGTGTACGTAAATGGTCGCACATACGGTGTTACGCGATCGACTGGCAGTTGGCCCATCAATGGAGGCCTTGGAGTTGCTCTGGAATTTTTACACTGCTGACAACCAGACTGAGCTCGTTTAACTGCCGCACGTAAGTGTGGGATCCAGAATACCCTTCGTATTTCGTTTACGACGAGCTCGTGGTTTTGATGATAAAGTCTTTGGTGGTACCACTGAACGACAAATTCAGTGAAGTCGTGTCTGTATGGCAATATGATAGGTCTTCTCGTGCCCTCACTAAGTGCGGCCGCGTAATCTATTCGCCCTTGTACGCATAGGACCCCATCGTGATTGAGTTGCGGCGTAAGTTTATAAATGTCACTGTCCTTGGACACGGTATTATTATTTTTCAATTGCATAATTTCGTTGGGAAATGCCTCTTTTTGAACTATTCGACACAATCGCAGCTCCGCGTCCTATAGTTCGGCGGAGGTAAGTTCTCCTGACGGCCCTACTGATCCAATGCATTTGGCTTTGACATTAGAAAAAAATCGTAGTGTCCAAGCAATCGTTCGCTTCAGACGCAAATAATTCGAAAAGCGTGTGAAATTAATTACCTTTCCCGCCGGAATCACCAGCATGCATCTTCGTTTCTCCTCATCGACGACCGCCTCCACCTTTATGCCTTGCAAAACTGGCCAAAGCTCTTCTGGCTGAAGTAAAAATTCAGGACCCCTTGTCCACCGTAAATCTGTTTCCTCGCGCATAGGGTAAGCAGCTCTTGTAGCCAAATCGGCCACATTCAACTTCGATGGGCACCAACGCCATTCGTTCTCGTGTGTCTCATCCAGTATCTCGCTTATACGATGCGCAACAAATGGTTTATATTGTCGATGGTCAGATTTGATCCACATCAGAACCGTTCTGGAATCAGTCCACAAAATAGTTCGGCTGGGTTTGATAGTATGGCTTTCAACAATCGTTGATTTCAACCGTGTACCCAAAACAGCAGCCTGCAGCTCTAAGCGGGGTATAGACAGCAGTTTCAGTGGTGCGCATCTGGTTTTTCCCAAAACAAAGCTAATTTTAACGCTTCCGGGTGCAATTATTCTCCAAAAGGCCACTGCAGCGAAGGCTTGCTCACTGGCATCCATGAATACATGCAGTTCAACAGTGGTATTTGGCGACAAAAATTCTGGCGCATAGCACCTGCTTACTCTGAGCTGTTCCACCATTCGTAATCTTCTGATCCATGACGTGAATCTGCCAAAAATATTAGAAGGAATTTCGTCGTCCCACGCAGTGCCTTTCCTCCACAGTGACTGCAGTAAATNTGAATACATGCAGTTCAACAGTGGTATTTGGCGACAAAAATTCTGGCGCATAGCACCTGCTTACTCTGAGCTGTTCCACCATTCGTAATCTTCTGATCCATGACGTGAATCTGCCAAAAATATTAGAAGGAATTTCGTCGTCCCACGCAGTGCCTTTCCTCCACAGTGACTGCAGTAAATTCTTCCCATATATCATAATATCGGCCAACATTCCCAAGGGGTCATAAACAGACATCACCAAACCCAGAAATTCTCGTTTAGTTGGACATTTGTCCCCTGTGAGTATCTGTGGATCAACTCTATGCAATTTTAGTTTGAATACAAGTGCATCAACTTGGCTGTCCCAGAACAGTCCCAACACCTTGTCGACATGACCACCTGCATCCATGCTAACTACGGCCTGTGAGTGTTGAACGCTTTTGTTNCAAATAATTCGAAAAGCGTGTGAAATTAATTACCTTTCCCGCCGGAATCACCAGCATGCATCTTCGTTTCTCCTCATCGACGACCGCCTCCACCTTTATGCCTTGCAAAACTGGCCAAAGCTCTTCTGGCTGAAGTAAAAATTCAGGACCCCTTGTCCACCGTAAATCTGTTTCCTCGCGCATAGGGTAAGCAGCTCTTGTAGCCAAATCGGCCACATTCAACTTCGATGGGCACCAACGCCATTCGTTCTCGTGTGTCTCATCCAGTATCTCGCTTATACGATGCGCAACAAATGGTTTATATTGTCGATGGTCAGATTTGATCCACATCAGAACCGTTCTGGAATCAGTCCACAAAATAGTTCGGCTGGGTTTGATAGTATGGCTTTCAACAATCGTTGATTTCAACCGTGTACCCAAAACAGCAGCCTGCAGCTCTAAGCGGGGTATAGACAGCAGTTTCAGTGGTGCGCATCTGGTTTTTCCCAAAACAAAGCTAATTTTAACGCTTCCGGGTGCAATTATTCTCCAAAAGGCCACTGCAGCGAAGGCTTGCTCACTGGCATCCATGAATACATGCAGTTCAACAGTGGTATTTGGCGACAAAAATTCTGGCGCATAGCACCTGCTTACTCTGAGCTGTTCCACCATTCGTAATCTTCTGATCCATGACGTGAATCTGCCAAAAATATTAGAAGGAATTTCGTCGTCCCACGCAGTGCCTTTCCTCCACAGTGACTGCAGTAAATTCTTCCCATATATCATAATATCGGCCAACATTCCCAAGGGGTCATAAACAGACATCACCAAACCCAGAAATTCTCGTTTAGTTGGACATTTGTCCCCTGTGAGTATCTGTGGATCAACTCTATGCAATTTTAGTTTGAATACAAGTGCATCAACTTGGCTGTCCCAGAACAGTCCCAACACCTTGTCGACATGACCACCTGCATCCATGCTAACTACGGCCTGTGAGTGTTGAACGCTTTTGTTAGGCGGTTTTGCACGTCTCTGGAGTTGGAGATAAAATTTCTCAAAACAAATCCGGCCTTTAAATGAGTTTCCCTCACGGCTTGGCCAATTTCCAATGCTTCACGCTCGTCCCTAAAGCTGCACACGAAGTCATCCACATAATGATTGTCAGTTATTGCCCTTACCACTTCGGAGCGATCACCGGCGACTTCTTCAGCATTTCTGTTCTTAACATGCTGTGCTATGCATGGAGAGCATGTGGCTCCAAAAATCATTGAAGTCATCACATAGATTCCTGCAGGGTCATTGATGTCGTATCGCCACAGAAAACGTTGTGCATTCTGATCTTCCTGCCTCATGCCGACTTGTAGAAACATTTCCCTTATGTCAGCGCATATGGCAACAACGCCCTCTCGAAATTGTAGCAATACTCTAATCAAGGGTTGCATTTCATCTGGACCCTTCAGGAGAACAGAGTTTAACGACACCCTGTTTACCGCCGCTGCCGCGTCGAACACCAGCCGCAGCTTGCCAGGCTTATTGACATTAAAAACTCCAAAATGTGGTAAGTACCAATTAAAATGCGTTTGAACCTTTGCCTCAGTTGGCGTTAATTCCCTAGCGTATCCCTTGGCGATAAAGCTTGACATGGCAGATTTATACGCGCGCTCGAATTCAAAATCATTCCTCATCTTTTTCTCAATTGAATGTAGGCGGTTGAGGGCCATGTTATAACTATCGGGCATATGGACTTCGTCAGACTTCCACAACAAACCGCACTCGTATTTATCGCCGATTCTCTTAATCGTCTCGCGCAAAATTCTTTTAGCTCGAACGACGTCTTTGGATTCTACAACCTTTGCAGGCACGGCAACACCAAAATTTTCAGTTGTAAAGTAATCTGAAATCAATTCTTGTATGTCGACTTTAACGGATGTATGCAAAATTATCGATACTCGTTCAACTATCGGTTTTAGTTCATCGCTATGTTTACCATAAACGAGCCATCCCAATTCTGTTTTTACTGCAACAATCGAATTTTCACATTGGATACTCCTCAAGCTGGCTGTAATATGGCAATTATCCAATCCAATTAGGACCGTTGGCTCTGCATCAGTGTAATCAACTATTGGAAGATGTTTAATTTGGCGATACCTCGAGTGTAGTTCAGCAAATGTGACTGTTTGCATTGGCAAATCAAGGCTAGGAACAGTTCGTGCAATCAGCTTGTGCCACTTGGCTTTGTGACTAGTTCCTTTTATCTGCACTTCCAATCTCATAGACTTGAGCTTGGTCTCTCTTCCACCAAACCATTGCAGAGACAGTGGAGTGCTTTGGCCAGAAATTCCCAGCTGATTGGCTACTGCTTCATTGATGAGCGTGCATGACGAACCTTCATCGATTAAGGCAAATGTTTTAATAATGTGATTATTGGCACCTCGCAGCTCAATTGGCAATATCTTGTACAAAATTGTTGTTGCTTTATGGTCATACTTGCGCGTTTGCACAGTGTTTACCTGCTGAGCGCTATTTTCTTTCGCTCTTGGTGGCTCATGCACCGTGACTCCGGTTTCATGTAATGTAGAGTGGTGCAATTTCTTGCAGCCTTCCACCATACATGCGCGCTTCCTTTTACACTGATACATGCCGTGACCTTTAATAAGACAGGAGAAACACAATTTTTGTTCCTTCACTATTTCCCACCGCTGCCCAACACTTTTACTCAGATACGAGTCACACTTTGACAAATGATGTGAGGCTGAACATTGCACACATGGATTTAGGACTTCGCTGCTATTGCGCGTTTCGCTTACGGCAAGTACTTGCTTCGATTGTGTACGTGGCATTGTGGGAGGCAGTGAGAGCACTGTGGCTTTGGCAATAACCCTGGCAAGTTGACTCAACCACAGCTCAAANAATAACCCTGGCAAGTTGACTCAACCACAGCTCAAAATGCTCCAACGTAGGATACGGACGAATCTGCATTGCG